GTACATTTTTTTTTTCAAACCAGTTCCTAGAGTTTAGGAGTGACCCTGGGCTTCTGCATCTTCCAATACTGTCAAATCATTTCAGTGGATAGTTTTGACAGAGCTGTCCTTAATGGTCTTCCATAGGTCTTCCACATTCGCTACAGACCTAGTATCTATGGCCATGAAAGTATGTAACTAGGAAGAACAATATGATACAGAAGAACTTTTGGTGGTTTTTATGAAGCCCAATTACCATTCTTTTCATAGCAAGTTTTTAATTGATCTCAGCAAGCACTACTCAGTGAGAAGCCTTCAAGAATTCAGTTGCCTGGATGAGAACAGTCTGAAACATGATTGAACCTGTTATAAATTCTATCTGAAACTTCTAATCATCTTTTTTAAACCCTGAAGGTTCATGCTAATCCTAATAGAAATTTTGATAAAACAACGTAATAAAACTTTTTCCCTTTTCTTTCCGCTGACATGCTAGTACTCCTACATACATGTATATGTATACATATGTATACAAATGCATGTCACAACTATTCTAATGACTGATAATGGATAATTAGAATACATCCATAGATTGTTACTCTTCTTTTTTTTTTAATTGCTGTCATTTTTTTTTCTTGGTTTTCATTAAAAATGCCTGCAGTAAGACCAGTCATGATTACGGAAGATGGATGATGATGATGATGATGATGATGATGATGATGATGATGATGATAACAAATGCAACAATAATGTGTGTGTGTATGTTAGGTGCCACAGTGGATCATCTTCCTGAGTTCAAATCTGGCCTGTGTGACCAGGGACAAATCACTTAACCCTTTTTGTCTCAGTTTCTTCATCTGTAAAATGATCTGGAGAAGGAAATGGCAAACCACTCTTGTATCTTTGCCAAGAAAACCCCAAATGGGGTCATGAAGACTTGGACACAACTGCAACTGAACGAGTAAACAAAATATATGCACAAATATACGTATATGAATATATTGCTTTATATGCAGATGTGTTGCATATGTACAAATACATATATTTTACTTTAAGGTTTGCAAAACACTCTATAAATATTAACTATTTTATCCTCACAACAGCTCCAGCAGGTAGATGCTGTTATTATCCCCATTTTACGGATTAGAGAACTGAAGCTGACAGAAGTTAAGTGACTTGCTCAGGGTTACATAGCTGATAAGTGTCTGAGGCTGGATATAAACTCAGAAAAAAATGGGCTTCACCTCTAGCAAAGAGTACTTAATAAAAATGAACTAGTGGTGTGCGATGAGATTTTCAGATTAATTTTGAATTCAGATAAATTTTCAGATATGTCCAGTGTATGAATTTGTTTTGACTGTATGTATTATTTTAAAAGGAGGACTTTTGTTTGTTTTTTTTAAGAGAGGTGCAGTGACTTATGATAGCTAATGATAGTGATGCAAAACAGAAAGGGGAAAAGAAAGACGAGAGAGTTGATGAAACGTTAAAGAAATAAAACAAGACAGAGCAGAAAGATTCAGAGAAAGATAGGCAGAGTGGTGTAGCTACTATCATGTTGAATCTAGTAGATGGTTTCTAAAGAAAAACAAGATGTGCATATGGGAGACTCGTGATTTCACAAAGAGACCTCTTTTTCTGTGGTTTGCATATGAAATATTCATGTTTATTGATGGTAAGGGTCATAAAAAATTTTTAAAAGAATTCATTCAGTACCTCTTGGTACTCATTAGCTCCAGAATCAGAGAACCATGGTTCAAATTTCACCTCTTACTTCCTATGTGATCTTGGACAAATCACTTAACCTCCCAAAGCCTCAGTTTCCTCATCTATAAAATATGGGGTTTGGCCATAAATTTTCCTTAGGTGTCCCTTCAATATCTGTATCTATAATCCTGATACTTCTGTGACCTTTGACAAGTCACTTAACCTAGACTTTTTTATTCTTTACTCATGTCCAACTCTTCATGACCCCATTGGAAGTTTTTCTTGGCAAAGATACTAGAATAGTTTGCCATTTCCTTCAATTCATTTTACAAATGAGGCAAACAGGGTTAAGTGACTTGCCCAAGGTCACACAAATAGTAAGTGTCTGAGGCTAGATTTGAACTCAGAGTACTGGCCCAGTGCTCTATCTACTGCACCACCTAGCAGCAAACTAGACTAGGTGATTGCTAAAGGCTCATCTTGACTTGAATCTCATGGTCCACAATCTAGGTCAATCAAATTCATTTGGATATATGTATGTTGCACAGGCTATGAATGCACATTGACTTATTACAAATAATTTTAAAGTCAAGCTGACTATTCAGCTGCAGTTCATGCATTGCCACACAGATGCATGCACAAATGGCTGTCACCTCTTCCCCTCTACATTGTGTCTCTTCCTCTTCCTACAGCTCTCTATTTCACATTATAAGACAATCTCTGTCTTAGTGGGTACAAAGGCATTCTGTCAAAATGCAGATGTCTACAGAATCTGAATAGAAACAAGAAGTAGAGTGTAGCTTGTGTGTTAATCAGATTCTGACCTAGGAAAGATCTGAATCAGGTGAATGAATTCTCGTTTTCCTGTGAGCATATACATGTATATGGGTATCATAATTTGTGGACAGAGGCTGGAATGATTATACTCCATTGCTTCAAAGAATCTGTGGTCTCATCAGTGTGGGTACCCCCAACAATGTAGAACACAATCCACGAAAGTTCTACCCATCTGATGCTACTGTGCTATGCCATCCTATAAATCCAGCCTGGAGGGTTCACCCAGCTTTCGGGACCTTTTTTTGGATTCCCTTGACATCATGTGAACACCAGAAAAAAACACAGGAGTAGGCAGTCTGTCTCTTGCTTTTGCTACTTAACCAGACCATCTCTTTTTCTTGTTATGTGTTTCTCTGAAGGTGCTCTTTATCTTTTTCCAATTTAAAAAAAAACACTTTTATTTAAAGTTTTAAGTTCCAAATTCTATCCGTCCCTCCTCCCTGAGACAGTAAGCAATCAGATATAAATTATATGTGTACAGTTATCCCATACTTCTTTAACCAAGTGTTTCCTGCTATTTGCTTGTGGTGATTTGAGTTTCTCTTGATTGCAGGTACTTGGCATCAGCTATGATGGAAGTCAGGCCCATCTTAGCTGATATGGTCAGCATATTAATCGTATATTGATATTTTTCCCTCCACTCTTCAGAAATTAAGATAACAGACAGTATTGTCTGCCTCAAAGACTAGAGGGGAGTACTATGAATTTTGGTCACTGCAGTGTTCAGTGGCTTAACTAGATGCGTTAATCAGTCATTTGTTCATTCAACAAACACTGATTATGCACCAGTTCTGTGTAGAATTATCCTAGGCACTCAAATCTGGAAAAATTTTGGTAAGACATAATCCTAAATTCATAGATATGGATTTTAAAGGCCCTGGCACATAGTAGGTGCTTAATAAATATTGATTGATTGATTGACTGATCTAGTCCAAGCCCCTCATTTTATAAATGAGGAACTTAAGACCCAGAGAGTCTCTGGGTAACTTATCCAAGTAACTTATCCAAGGTCAATGGGTAATATGTATCAGAAGCTAGATTAGATGTTTTATCCCTGTCCTGTGACTCTGGATACTTTTTTCATTGTACCATATCCCTTCCTGCCTTCTTGCAGACTTATCCACTGATAAGCAAACATCACTTTTAATACACAATATTAGTGCATGTACAAGTTCAGTATATTACAGCATTGAAAAACATATTGCTATGTGAACTCTAAGGGGGATTCAGAACAATTGACGGAAGCAGTCATTTTGAGGTAAGCTTCAAAGATTATATAAGAACTTTTATTTGTTGAATAAAAAGTTAAAATTAAAAAGGAAGAGGGAAGACATATCAAGCATAGGGCACAGCATGAACAAAGATATGAAGGCACAGGAAAGTAAGGTGTTTTGGCAGAGAAGGGAATAATCAGTCATCTAGTTTGACTAGAGCATTGTGGGGGAGTAATATGAATTATAGCTGGAAAGTGTGGTGGTGGCAGAAAGGTTATTGTGGCATTCATATGGAACATGGTTTTAAGCAGGGAGAGAGTAGGAGTAGCATCTGTAGATAGACTGTTGGAATAGTAGTCAGGTGGTCATGTGGGCCTGTATTATGGGGGCAGCAATAGGAGTGGAGAATGCAGAGGAGGGAATGGATCTGACGTGGACTGAACTTGGTAACTGATTGCATGTGAGAGAGGAAGAGAGAGCCAAAGATAAGCCCACAGCTTCAAATATGAGAGGCCAAGTCAGTGGCAGTGCCTTACACAGAGAGAAGTGAAAAAAAGGAGCAGACTTAGAAGAAAAGATTTTAAAATTCCATTTTGAATAGGTTGAGTTTGAAGTATAGCAGTGAGATGCCCAGTTTGAGATCCCCTCTAGTGGAAAAAGCATTGTGTCTGGGGTCAGAGAAACTGGTTCACATTCTGTCTTTGATGCTTACTTCTTTGGTGATTTTGAGCTAGTCAGTTCATCTCCGTGGGCTTTAGTTTACTCATCTATAAAATGAGAGTTGAACTAAATGCTCTCAGATTCTTGCCATCACTAGTTGTATGATCTTATGATTCTGTGATAAACAGCTGGGAGGTTAGATGTAGAAATCATTAGTGTGTATAGGTGTGGTGCAATCCCTTTCAAACAAAGTTGCCTTGTTCATTTTATTATAACTCCTGAGTACCCCTGAGTGTGGTAGACCTCACCTACTGGGGAAGTGGGGTAGAACATCAGAGGAGTTCTGAGCTGCAGTGGGCTAAAGTCAATTGAGTATACATGTACATCTAGCCACCAATTAGGTGAGCCCTGAGGAGGAGAGGGGCCCAGGCTGCCTAAGGAGGGGCAGATCAGCCCCTGTTTGAAAGAGATCAGGTAAAATCTTCCATGCTGATCCGAGTTTAGACAGGGCCTGTGTAACTAGCCAGAGTTCTTCCAGCCTGATTGAAATAAGGAAACCCAGTCACAAAAAAAATCCTAATTACATCTCTCACTCTTCTTTTTCAGAAAGAGATGACCAGCAGGATGTGTCACTAAAGAGCCATCCATCAGAAGAAAGAGGAATGCAGTTTCCTCAGGGGATTGAACAGGAGCATGAAGGAGACCTTTCAGAAACTAAAAAAGCTTGTTGATTCCCAGGAGGTTGGGGACAGACAGTGATTTTTCTCTGCCATGCTTCCCATCCACTGTGTATGCTCTTAACTCTTGGAGTGCTGCTAGCAATATTCTATTGACCAGGTGTATTATAAAGCAAAGCAAAGAAAGAGAAAACTACCATTTATTTTTCTGGTTCAAGAACTCTCCAGAATGAAGCCTCTGCAGTTACAGACTCCTAACAGTTCAATACATGTTCCAGTTGTCTCAGCTTTACTGGAATTCAGGTCTTGAGACTGAGATACATATTTGTACTTTCCCCCCCACTGACTAGACCAGTTGTCAACTGGTCTATTTTTCCTGTGTTTTATTTTCTAAGTACAGTGTGAATTTGAGAACTCTGGATCCTCAACAGATTTTTTTTTCTATTAACAAGTTTTCCATCCTATAAAGTCCTATCCTGATCCTGTATAATATTTTGAAATTCCATACAATAAACTCTTGATAAATCTATCAGAGAGCAAAAGCATAACTTTCTCTTATGGGTCTGCTGCTTATGAGGTCCTACTCCATTTTCAAATAGTGTCTTTGTATTATAACTAGAGGAAGTTCAAACACCACCTTCTGCAAGGGACCTTTGCTGATGCCTCCCAGCTACTAGTGCCTTCTCCCTTTTTTACCCCATCCACACCCCTACACAGAAGGTTACCCTTTATCTGTTTTGTATATACTTCTATATGTCTGTATTGTCTTTCCTGTTAGAATGTAAACTCCTTGAGGGCAGGGACTCTTTTTTTTTTTTTGTATTTGTGTCCCCAGACCTTTACACAGTACCTGGAACATAGTTGGTGCTTAATAAATGCTTATGGGTCGATTGATTAAGTCATAATTTCCCAGAGTAAGGTTTGCCAAAGCATTGGCCAAGTTCCTGAGTGACTTTGGTTATAGTATGCATTCAAGACCACTGTACTAGGCCTTGGGGATACAACAACAGGAAATTAAAAGAGCACCTGCCCTCGAGGAATTTCTTTCTATTGGAGGATATACCACGGACACAAATAAGGAAATTCAAAGTATATACAAAGTAATTTGCAAGAAGTAGAGTGTGCTAATTAATTGTTGGGGGCAAGGGGTAGAGAGGTGTCAGGAAAACTCATGTATTTTGTACTCTCCTTTACTCCCTTACTCTTTATCTCTTCCATTCAGAAAATTCTTCCTTTTGTTAGAAGGGACACAAATGGAAACTAGAAATTACAACTCGGCAATTCAGTGGTGAGAGAAAGCAGTCACCCACCTTTTATATGGGATTACGTGAACAAAACATTCGGTTGAATGCTTCAGCCTGTGCTACATCACACAAGTCTATGTCTTCTTTCTCCTTCTTATTGTGCCTGCAACAACACTGTATTACAAAATATTGTGGGCTACAAGGTACGTAGTATTTCAGCCTGTTACTGTGCCATGTTATCCAAAGACACAGTATAGCTCTTATTTCTGCCTCTAGTCTCTTCCCACTTTTCTTTTCATTTGACAGTCCCGATGATAAATTCTGTGCTGGTTTATACAATCACAGAATTTCGGAGCTGGAAGAGACCTCAATGACCATCTTGTCCAACTCATCCCTGAAAAATAATGCCCACCGTAAGAGAGTAGAGTTATCTTTTTAAAAAATTATACAGGATTTTGGTAGATGAAGTGTTCATTTTGTCTTTTTACCCATGGTCCTGACAGTTTGTAGTTTGTGACATTCATTTACTTCATGTTGATTTGAATTTCACAAAATATCAGTTTGTGGAAAATAACCAAAAGAATAAGATTACAAAAATAGATATTTTAATGCAGTTTTTGTTAAAGTATAAATACAAATAGATCAGAAGAAATAAAATTATGCATCCACACAGACTAAGGGCTAGACTTCTGAACCCCATAGCATTCAGTGTTGGGTCAACCAAGAAGACCTGCCTTTGGTTTGGAAGAGGATGTAATTTGATTTTTTTAAAGGCCCAAATGCTGCTACCTCTCTCTATGCTCTTGGCATTCAGTTTTCTTAGATCACTGACAAACATGCCTCTCCACTGTGTGTCTATGTCCCTATATGAATAGAAAAACAAAGATCAACACATTGATCTATCTTAAGCGTCATTTTTGGTCAGGAATCCACAGAGAAAACATCCCAAAGATTCAAAGAAAAAAAAATAAGTAGAACCATCTTCAGACCTATGCAATATAACAAAACCTTTATGAAACAAAAATAAAATATAAATCTTGGTGAGTCTTCTTAAAACCTTGTCGTATCTTTGAAAAACTTAAAAATATTGGTGTTTTGAAGTCAAAATCATGAGTTTTCCTATGTTTCATTGATGCCACTTAGGATGCTATTTGTGCCTAATTTTGTAGAAGTTAGAAATCTGAATTTGCTAACAAATATTTTTAAATACTGTTTTTAACTATTTCTGCATATGAAATTTTTGCTCAACTTTTTTTTTAAGTGGCTTTGTGAGTCTTTTTCCTCTTGGTACAGTTTTCCTCTGGCTGCACACCCTCCTAATTGCACTAATGAACTATTCTAGGGTGTGTGTGTTTTGTTTCGTTTTGTTTTTTTACAAATTATTGTGGGTTTGTGTTGGTGTTTTGTTTTGATTTTTGTTGTCTTAGCTGTAAGCTGGATCTGTAAGATTTTGTTTAGCAAATTCCAGAAAGAAACCATTAGGTAATTTTGACCACTTTTTGTTGGCTTGACTGCATAATGTACATGTATGTCTTATGTGAAAGGAAATAAAGTGGATGAAAACCCTAAAGAGAACAGCATAATCCTTTAACTGTTGGCCTGGCATGAGGCCTCCCTGCTTTGGGAAAGATGATATAAATATGGACTTCATTCCTGGCTTCTATTGTGCTTTATTATGTCATTGACTAACATCACTATGACATTTGAATAATAGTTCTAAATGAAAAAGGAGGATGCAAAGGATAGAGTAATTAACCCAAGAGTTTTGGATATTCAATACTAGATAACTTGCCCCAGTTCATGGTAAATTTTATCATCTCTGTATTATAATCTATTTTGTTCATGTTCCTTGATGTGTTCAGCAGGGATTAGGTGCCATTTCAATGGATGTCAATTTCTAACATTCATTTAACTGAAAGATGAAGATAGAATGCCCTTACAGGAAAGATTTGAATCAATTTCCTATTTTCCATTTGCCTTGTAATTTAACCAGGTATAAAATATGTGCATTTCTCTTATTTTATTTCTTATCTCATGTTCTTACACTTAGGTCCCCATGCTTTGTTAATCTAGCTCTTCCTACTGCTTTTTTTGCATTTTAAATTAATTATTTTGTACTAATAAGCATTTATTTTCTCTTTCTTCCATTCACTTTCACTCAAAAAAGAAAAAAAAGCCCCAAATCCCTAATAACAAGTATGCTTAGTGAGAGCAAATTCCTACATTGGCTATGTACAAATTGTGTCTCATTCTGCATTAGTACATCACCTCTCTGTCATGAATGAGTTGGACAGGATTCTTCATCATCAGTCCTCTTCAACCATGGTTAGCCATTGATCCAAAAATCAGAGTTAAGTCTCTTAAAGTTGATTGTCATTACAATGTCATATTACAGTATAAATTGGTTTTGGTTATATAAATTGGTTCTGTTTCAAGTCACTTCATTCTGTATCATTTCATACAAATCTTCCCAGTTTTCTTTGAAACTGACTCTCTATTTCTTTTAGCAAAAATAATGTTCTGTTACATTCATATACAATAATTTTTTTCAGCCATGCCCTACTTGATGGGCACTCCTTAGTTTTCAGTTCTTTGTACTACAAAAAAAGAGCTGCTATAAATATTTTATACAAATGTTTTTCCTCATTTTCAATCTTTTGGGGACATAAGCCCAATATTGGTATTGTTATGTCAAAGAATTTTTGATCAATCCATAAACATTTACTAAGTGTGTACTATGTGCCAGGCACTGTCATAAGCTCTAAGGATACTAAAATAGACAAAAAACAGTCCTTGCCCTCACAAAGCTTACAATCTAATAGGAGAGACAAAAAAAAAAAATGTACAAACTATATATAGGATAAATGAGAAAAAAACTAACAGAGGGAAGGGACTACAATTAAGAGGAATTGGGAAAGGCTTTCTTTAGAAGATGAGGTTTTAGTTGCAACTTAAAGGAAGCCAGGGAAGTCGGTAGATTGAGATAAGGAAGAAGAACACTACAGGCATCAGAGAGAACCAGAGAAAATGCTTGGAGCTGAGAGTTGGAGTGTCTTGTTTGTATAATACTAAGGAGGCCAGTGTCACTAAATTGAAGACTACGTGGTGAGGAATAAGATGTAAGAAGACAGGAAAGGAAGGAAAGAACTAAGTTATGAAGAGATTTGAATGCCAAACAGATTTTGTATTTGATCCTGGAGATGATAGGAAGCCACTGGATTTTATTGAGGGGTGTGTGTGTGTGTGTGTGATATGATTGAACTTTGCTTTAGGAAAATCACTTTAGCGACTAAATGGAGGATGAATTGAAATGGGGAGAGACTATTATAATAGTTCAGACATGAGGTGATAAGATCCTAAACTAAAGTAGTAACAGTGTCAGAGGAGTGAAGGGAGGCATTCAAGAGATGTTGTAAAGGTGAAATCAAAGGTCTTGGCAAAAGATTGAATATGGAGGGGGTGAGAGATTATGAGGAGTTGAGGATGACTCCTAGTTTGCCAGTCTGAGGGCCTGAGAGGATGCCCTCTAGAGTAATTGATTAAGTAGAAATGGAGGAAGGTTTAAGGGGAAAAATAATGAATTCTGTATTGAACGTGTTGAGTTTAAGATTTATACTGGAAATAGGCAGAACCAAGATAGCAGAGAAAAGGCAGGGATTCACTTGAGCTCTCCCCAAAACCCCACCACAAACCTTTAAAAATGACTCATGACAAACTCTAGAGTGGCAGAACCCATAAAAAGAAATGAAACAATTTTCCAGCCCAAGATAGCTTAGAAGTTCAACAGGAAAGCTCTGTTGCACCAGGGTGAGAGTGGAGTACAATCCAGTGCAGGCCAAGTCAGCAGACTAGGCCCCAGCAAATCGGGAACAGGCCTTGGTGGTGACTGAATCAGTGGCAACAGTGCCATTTCGAGACCTCTCAGCCCACAGACAGCAAGGAGGTCAGAAGGAGATTACAAGGGTCCCTTTGCTTGCATTTGGGACAGAGCTCTGTCACTTTGCCAATAATTGGATCTGGTGGCAGTCCTGGGTCTCAGTCCCAGGGCAAGGAGGTGCACTAACACATCAGAGCTTGTGGATGCAGGGGAAACAGGGACCCTGATCCCAGTTTCAAGGTGGAAAAGAGTGCTTAGGGTCACTTCCAATGCATAGTGCAGAAGAGTAGTAAACACAACTCTCCCTAGATCATATCACCTTGGAAGAAGTGAAAACTTACAGAATTAACTCTGGAAATAACTGCACAAAAAACCCGAAGGTTGGGACAGTGACACTTCTGAAGCAGAGCTCCATTTTAACAGAGAATTAAAAGTCGAGAAATAGGCTGGGAAATAAGCAAACAGCAGAAAAAGATCCTTCTTATAGAAAGTTAACTATGGTGATGGGGAAGATTAAAACACAAACTCAGAAGAAGACAACAAAGTCAAAACTCCTAAGTCCAAAGCCTCAGAAAAAAAATATGAATTGGCTCCAGGCCATGGGAAGCTCTAAAATGATTTTAAAAATCAAGTAAGAGAAGTAGGGGAAAAATTGGGAAGAGAAATGAGAACTATGCAAGAAAATCATGAAAAAAGAGTCAACAACTTGATAAAGGGGGCACAAAAAAAATACTGAAGAAAACACCACCTTAAAGAACAGAACAGGTCGAAATGGGAAGAGGCACAAAAATCCAAAGAAGAGAAGAATAACTTGAAAAGCAGAATTAGCCAAAAGGAAAAAGATATACAAAAATTCACCAAAAAAAAGAATTTGTTTTACACTCTTCGTTCCCCAGGTTCTGAAGCTATTGAAAATAATTCAGATTTATCATTCAAAACACCCCGAACTTGCCCTTCTCCATAGGAATTCTATCTCTTTGCCATATGCTGTAGATAGGACATTTCCTGAATGAATGCCTGTAGCTAATGTCCAGTGAGTTGTTGGTAATTCAAAGCCACACAGAAAATCCTAGAAAATTCATTTCTTCTTGCCTTATGATATGGTCCTATATTATGTCATAATATATTAATGACCTCCCTATAGCATGATATACAAGGAAACACTAGTGGCCTGCATAGTTCCTACCGATCTAAAATGGTGTTAGGCAAAATAAAAGCTGGAAGGATAGAATTAATAGTCCTTTTTAGAATTTAATGAGAATGCCATTTTTTCCATTAAATTATTGGAATATTTATATCTTTAATTCATTGTTCCATTTTTGTCAGTTGTTTGTTTTGTTTGTATACTTGTAATAATGTAAGTCAGATCTATAGTTTGGATATTACCAGTGACAAGGAAGAATTAGCACAATTGATCTAGTTTCTGCTTAAACATAAATGACAAAAAGAGATTCTGTTTTAAGTGGTCTGTAAGTGACCATAATTACATTTGTATAAGTATGTTTGAAATGTACATGTGTGTATGTAAAGTGAATTTTGTTATTCTTTTTTCGATAATAGTTCCCAGGATCCTAGATAATAGTTCCCAGGACCCATGACTGTAAACAATTTCTACTGTGACTACACAGTGAGATATAATGATGAGAAAATGTAAACATTTGACTTTAGGTGTAAACAGTGTACTGTGCCTGTGCTATGCTGATTCACCATGATATTGCTAAAGTTAATGTACACTTGGGAGGCTATTGCTGGCAAAATGCCTTGTTTTGTGCTCCTCTATAAATCAAGTGAGCATTGGCTAGTAAGTGGGGATTTGGGGAATATGCCAGCTGAAAGCTGTGTGTGCCTTGACCAGCCCCCATCAAGGCTTGGGGAAAATGTGACAGTGTAATGCTGTGCTTCCTTCAAAAGGCCCCCATTGAGGCTTAGGGGGAATGCACAAGCTGGAATTCTGTGCCTGTCTCGATCGGCCCCCATCGAGACTTAAATAATTTATTTTCTATTCTTCTTATATTCAGAAGAATAGAAAATAAATTATTTAACCCCTTGTTATGTCTACTTTCCTGTCCTTCTGGCTGTCCAGATCAAGAGTGAACCTGCTAGAGGATGGAGCCCAAAAGCTCCAGTGCTGCCTGCTGCCTAACAGTATGTTTTGTTTAATATCCTGTTCATCATAGCACAATAGTATTCCATCACAATCATATACCACAACTTGTTCAGCCATTCCCCAATTGATGGGCATCTGCCACTGATAAAAGAGCTGCTATAAATATTATTGCACATATAGGTCCTTTTCCTTAAAAAAAAAATCTTTTGGGGATAGAGACCTAGTAATGGTATTGCTGAGTTAAAGGGTATGCATGATTTTAGAGCCCTTTGGGCATAGTTCCAAAATTGCTCTCCAGATTGGTTGGATCATTTCGCAACTCCACCAATAGTGCATTAGTATGCCAATTTTCCCACATCTTCTCCAACATTTGTCATTCATGTGTGTATTTCAGATGGAAATGTAAGCACTGCCTTGGCATTACAAGGCAAGCTAGAGATGGATACCTGCTGGTGTAGGCAGATTCCCGCCATTTCTCCTCTCCTAAATCTTTTGGGGAATTGACCGTAACCTGGGACTAGTGGGAAGGCTTTGGTGTGACTAATAGACCTGACCTCCCAGCCTAGAGGTATATGGACAGCTGGAG